ACTTTTTTTGGTATTAGTATTGTGTCTCCTTTATCACCAGCTCGGCCCAGTGGAGCGATGTGTGGGGTGTTGTAATCACCTGGTTCATGCCATAAATTAGATCTGGTTTGGTGGTCCCTCACTGCAGGGCTTAGACTTGACCTGTTGAACAAATAGGACTCTGTGAGAGCGATGGACGTCCCTTTAGGCCGTGGCTCTCCCCACTGGTTGGCTGAGAGATGAAAATAGAGTGTAACAGATGGCTTAGCTGTTTCTGCCATACAGCACAGGCTGCTGGGCAGCCCACATAATATCATGCCATCCAAAAGTGACTCAGTGGGCTGCCCGTAGTCTTCAACATGCTGAAAGCTATATTCACCTTGAACCATCAATCACAGGCCTCAAATACGAGAGAGAGAGAGAGAGAGAAAATCAATGTCAGACGCGAGTCACAATCTAACCTATCGTGCACAATGTGGAGCAGCTCATAGTAGGCTAAGTAACACTGTTTTGGTTTGGGAGAAATGTGAGCTTGTCAGCTAAGTCTGTGGACTGTGTTTGTGCCAATAGGCTGATCCAGCTTAGACCACACAGTGCAGCTTCCTCCCTATAATCACACATTTACAGACCTTGTCAAGGACTCACAACCACCCCCCGACTTACTGATATTACTCAGTAGGGAATGGACGCGGTGCACACTTTGCGTCAACGTGCGTGCATTTGTGTGGTGTGTATTTGTTTACCTACACATGTAGCCGTTGTGTAATCTGCACTACATCTCATTTAGGCTTGGTTAAGTGCATTTATTGATGCTGAGAGCCCCTCTGTTGCTTCTCAGAGCCGGGGCCACCTGGACATTACACGATGAGCTGGGGAAACTGTGATTCGATTGTGCCATGAGCAGGGGGAGGAAAACAATGACATTTTTCTTGGGTAAAGTGACAGCTCAGCCAGTGCAAGGGGGACATCTGATAAGCGAAGACAAATGTCGCTCACAATGCCTTTTAGTTTCTCCCCAAACGTCAAGGCGTTAGCCTACATGAGTATTTTAGCTCTCCCATCCCAATGCCACACAGCAATATAAATTGTAGGTATGTGTAATATAGTCTCTCTACCGGCATCTTTAAAGATCATTCTTCTAACTCAAATATTCTGTCTTTCTTTCTCCCTGACACACACATGCTTGCAGACTGTTCACACCAACCCACGCACTGCTGCCCACCTACTATTCCCAGCTTGTGGTTATTCCCAGACTGAGTCAGAATGGCACCATAAGGCTGTCTGTCCGCTTCATGCCAAACCCGATGTCTCCTTGTCGCGGATGATGCCTTGGCGGAGACTCAGATCCCCGCATACAGTAGCCATCGCTCGGGCCGCTCGCACATCCCTCCCTCCCTCTGTAATTACGTGTAAGTCATATTGACAGCTGGAGGTGCACTTAGCTAGGTCAGGAAGCCATTCAAATCAAAGTGCTCCTTACGCTGTAAATAACTTCCCTCTGTCTCCACGTTGAGTCTTTCTTCACACCTTTATCATTCACCACCGTGACAGTTTCCTGTGTCTGCGAGCTGCTCCATCTGTTACCTCTGCATCTTTAGGTTTATCACTACAGTGTGGTATGATTAACACAGCTTCATCTGTGAAAGTCGTGTGTCGCTTATTGAGGAATTAATGCATTGGGACTGAATTCACAGTGGAATAAAATATACACAAATAGCTCCAAAACTATTTTGAAAGATTGGGAATGATTCAGATATGCCTCAGTGTCCAAATGGACTTAATAATGAGGCACGCACTTACTTACTTATACTACCACAATTCCTTATTATATGCAATGTAAAGAGCTATGGTGGACGCAGCATTAGTACAATATAATGCAATGCATAGATTTATATTTAAATAGTATCGGCAAATCATTGAGGTGCTGACTTACCCATTTGATAGCATTAATGTTGTATTGAATTGTCTTTATGGTATTTGTGTTATTTTGTACTTTTGTTGTACACACACTGCACACACAGTAGAGATGGATACAAAATGTGTAATAATCAGTATATAGATACTGAATAAATGCATATATTTATAACAGGCTGTAATGTAGTTGTAGGCAAATATGTCTTTACATGAGTAGTAATAGTTGTATATGTGTATATGCATGTATTTATATAAATGCTGAATAGGCGTGTTCCTGTTTGTTTGTTGCTGTGGTTGTTAATTGATGAAACAACACCAGCTGCCACCAACAGAGGGCAGTCTACCCACGTGGCAAACAGAATGTGAACTATGAACCTTGGATCTGAGGTGACCACTACATCATTATGGACAACTGAAACCCTGTGTCATAAATTAGGTTGTATAACGGTGTTGATAGTCAAAACATTTTACAGTCCGGACCTGCTGAGGGACACTGTATGACAAATGGTGCTGTTTGACACCAGCGTGATAACAGATCATCACTATTCAAGCAACATAAAGGCAAGCTGCAGGAAGGTAGAGGCACATTGATCAAAATGTCACCACAGTCAGGCTATCTGAAAGAACAAAGGGAACTTCTTTTCCACTTTAGTGAATTCAGAGAGCTTTGACTCGGCTACCGACATCCCCCTGGGTAGCATGTTTTAAGACTCAGCACTACTTTTTTAGACAAACAGGTTTGGACATATTGAACTCAGACCCAAAACAACTCTGCCCCAACCCGCCACTTTCCACTCTCTGCAGCTCTGTTTGTGATCGGGAGGTGTTTGTCTCTCTCACTCCATCTCTGGGTGTCTGTTTGCCCGACACTTGTCTGGCTTGGCCTACTTTCTCCTTGATCTCATCAGTCAATGTGAGGACCTGTGAAGGCCATCTCCCCATCTTGCTGTGTGAATCTCTGCCAGCTCCCTGCTTGTGTCAGCAGTTAGGGACTGACTCACACCCACGCGCTGTCCCCGGTCTTCGCTCCAGGGCCCGCTGGGCAAAGGCAGCACAACTCCCCAAACAGACAGCCTCATTTGCATGCCCATAAATCACTCACAAAAACTGACACCAAGCCACACAACAAGGCGTGACACGGAGCAACAAAACTCAGCGCGCCAATTTGCAGCGTTTAATGATATTAGGCTTTAAGCTATTCACGTAACCTCTTGGGTGATGATAGAGCCAATCACGCTTGAGCAGAACTCACATTCATATGGCCCATATCAGAAAAATCAGAGCAACCTTTAAACCCGTCTCTGCACGAATGAGTGAAAAAAAACAAAAAGATCTGTGTATTTGTTACTAAAAAAGACCAAAACATATGGCTGAGTCAAAGCTTTACACATGCGGCAATGAAAGATTGTTGCACTTTCTAAAAACTTAGCCTGACTAAAGAGCTTCAAAATGATACTTCTTGCGATTGACGATTCAGCAGCCAAGGTACAGCGAGCACACCAATAATTTGTGTTATAATGACAACTAATACGGCTCTTGTAAGGAAGTAGTCAAATGGAGCTCAGTAAAATGTAAATGAGGAGTGGTTGCTCTTGAAAATATTTTAAAACCGAGCAATGACCCCAAATTCCCCTTCCACAGTAATCTGTGTTCATTTGAATGTAATAGCAGTAGTTTATTTATGTTTGATTGAGCTGTTCATTTGACTGGGAAAGTGCTGTAATCATCATTGCATTCATCCTCTTAAAATATATAACTTGTTGCACGTAGAGTTTACAGTGAAAGCTGATTTCCAGTCATTCTCCCTCAGTGGGCTTTTAGACGAGTTACGCAATCTAAAAGGAAACCTGATTTTAAAAGTAGAGGAAAACAGAACATGATTCACGTTATAAAGAATATCACCATAACAGCACTGGAACATAAAAGTGAAGCATCGATTATCACAGTGATACTACGATTTGTTTACATCCCAATTAATCAGCCACAAAGGGTGACTTTTTGGTCCAGAATTGTGATGCAGATACATTTTGTGTTTGTTGAAGATAGAGCTTAATGTTGTTGAGGCTTCTGCTTGTTGGTAATGCTCAAAGGACCAAAACATGACATTTGAAAAACTCAACAGCAACGCATCTTTCTCTTGACGGCTGACAGACCTCCCTGTCAACAGTTTTCACCGAGGACTGTTTCCTTCCAAGAAGCAGTTTGGTACAGCTGTCCATAGTGACGTTTGTTGGTTGTTCTGAGTAAACACAGGATTGGTTCTGAATAGACACATGCTGTAGAGTTTTTCTTTTTTAAATTCCATTTGGTTAATGTTGTGAGTACCTTTAATGAAACAGCTGTCATCGGACACTGATTTCATGTCTTCACTGTTGTTTGTGTGAAAGTGGTGTACGGACCTGAGGATACATTTTTCTAAAAGAATTGCACACAAAGACAAATTCTGATACAAATCAGAGTTAATATCTCTAACGTGTCCGTTTTCAGGCAAAAAATAAAATGATATAACGGTAATGTTGTGTCTGTAATATTACTTGCTTATGGGGGAGAATTTGGACCCATAACTCCCTCAGTATTTCTAAACTCCTGCACCTTTATGGGTCTAACATTTTGACATGTCACAGTAGGTAAAAAAAAACAGTAAACAAGAGCATTACAGATGGCTCGATTCCATTTAGCATGCTGGCTCCCAGTCATGGCTTACTTGAACCACTTGAATGCAACAGAGCCACGCTATTAGCAACATTAAGTAGGCGCTCTTATGAAAAGTGAAAATGTCAGATGTAGGGAAATTACATATTGTTTTATTGATGGCAAAGGTCTCAGTAGCACATATCTCTAAAGGATCTGCGTATAACACTTAAACTTTCTGTAGCCAAACGTTTGAATTTCCCCAAAGTTTTTGTTATGGTATGACTCAACATTATGTAATTATGAATAATCTGACCGGGGCCAGAACGTTTGTGAAACTAAAACCATTACTTTTGAACATTTACTTGTGATTAATGTCTGTCTTGCTTAGAATGACCTGGAGGAACCTCCCTCACACACCCCGTGTTGGTTGCCGGACCACACTTTGGGAACAGCAGCGCGGAGCTGCTACCGCTGCGCTCCCACCGCCCGCGGAAATATGTTTCGGTGCGTCGGCGAACAGACGACGCAACTTGTTTCCCTTTTTTTCCACTTGGCTATTTGCTGCTTTCTGTCTCCGCACACACGCACACGCACACACACACACACACGCACCCCCCCGCGCGCACAGTGGCTTTGCCCGGCGGTGAGTGTAGAGTAGGAGGGGAAACATTCCTTTCCGTACCCGGTGGTTTTCATCCAGCGCGCGCTTCTCTCTCTCTCTCTCTCTCTTTCTCTCCCTCCCTCCCTTCCACTCATTTTTCCACTCCTCTCTACGTACAACCTCCCGGTTTCTCAATCGTGATGACAGTCGAGGCGAACGCGTGAGCGGATCCCACAGGTGTGTTGTTGCTAAATGAGCCACGGCTCTTGGAGACTCACACACGCGCGCACACACCTGGAAACTACCATGTGACTCGTTACCTGGGCGTGGAGAAAGTCCCTGATATTCTACCCGGATAGTCTTTTGTTGAGGAGTTGCCCGGTTCGCCTTTCAACGGGAATTGGCAAATCGTGTCATTCAAGTAGCGTCAGCCCGTGTTGTCTACGGAATAGTGCCTTTCTCAACCCTCCCCTCACAGGACGTGTGAGGAGAGTAACATGTGAACTTGATTCCGGACTCCTGTTTTTTTTTTTTGTTCTTTTTACTATTTCACCAGAGGACTCTTCGTTATCTGGACTTTTTCGCGGTGTTTGTGCAACTACTCTCCTCGCTGTTTTCTCCTCCAAGGTAAGTTCCGGGGTCGCTGCTGGATCCCAGCAAATTGGACTTGTGACTATTTGCGTCATCTTTCAACCAGAGTAGATCAATTTCATACCCTTTTACCCACATGAGCTCTAAGTTTTAATAGCCTACAATACGCCCTGTCGATATGGCATGCGAGCGTAAACCGTACCCACCTCCTATAATAACACCGTACTGTTTTATTTATCGATTTTACAGTGCCACGTACTGATGTGTAAAGAAAATAGGCTTTATGAAGAACCAGCATCATAACATTCATTAAATGCTTTTGGAAAGTCTACAGTAGTGTTGTTGTACAGGAGAGGAGGACATGTGTCAGTGAAACGCTGCTTGTTTTCATGTCTGGGTGAAAAGTTGTCCTGTTAAACTCAACAGCTGTGTGTTTGAAGCAGAAAAGAAAGCTCCCTGTTGACAAGCTCTTCCCCAAACCATTTCATCTGAGGAGCATTGCAGCCACTGCATCTGCCCGGTTCACCTCACAAGGAGCCGTCTGTCCCCCCCCCCCCCCACACACACAAACAAGGCAATTCCAGTGAGAAATGGCCATGTGAGCTGTGTTCCTCACCTCTAGACAGTAGCTGTACATCAACAGCTGAGAGGGCACGAGTATAGTAGCATTGCCTCTTGTTTGCTTTTTCTTGTTCCTCTCTATCTGTGTGTAGAACAAGGAGACAGAGGCACTATTCATGTCCTTGTTTGAACGTCCCGTCCAGTTCTGTCAGTCTGTGTCTCTCTGTCCCTGACACGGCCCCCCCCGTCACACCACTGTACTGCCTTGTTGTCTTGCTAAATCGTCCCTTTTATATTCGCAGCCCCTTGCCATCTTCCTACCCGGATATGCGCGCAGACCTACTGTACGTCTCCTGGGGATTATTCCTAGTTGATGACCTTATACAAGCGGTCTCGTAGTGGGAATGGATTAGTGGGGGGGGGGCACGTGGAGGCAGGAAAGGTGGTGGCTGCTGGTGGTGGCTGTAGGGGAGCTCGAGCAGGGGGTCAACCTCCAGTCTCCCGACAGAGCAGGGATGGTTTTTCCAATAGATGCCATCTGCTCACATGGACACACACACAAGCAATTGAAAACCTAGCTGCTTCTTGTCTTGTCCCTCTGTCCACCATCTCCCTGTCCTCTCTCTCTCTCTCTCTCTCTCTCTCTCTCTCTCTCTCTCTCTCTC